TTAGTCAAATTACAGACTCTTTGGGGTTCGTTCCTGGGGTCTCGTATCCGTATCTGCGCAATTTTGCGAAATCTGCCACAAATTTGGCGCCCACACAGATACACACTCAAATAGCCGAAAATGGCAGCTAATTGGAAGTAAATCGAGTTAAACTTTCTTTCGCTAAGCCGAAAAACCAAAATGCCGCGAATTGCACGCATGAGGCCCGGGGCATTTTGAGATACATGCTACGAGTATCTTGTGCTGTGTATCTCATAGTTTGCATAGCTAATTAGCCAACTTTGGCTCCGCAGTTGCCGTTGCTCAAGTCGGTCTCTGATCATTGATCAGTGCCGGAGTGCCAAGGCTAACGAACCAAATGTATCTTGTGGAACGTTCTCACATTAGTCACGCGTTTAACATATTTTCGTTTCGTTTCGTTTCGAGGTCCGTTTTAAATTTAATATATTTCGTAGCTCCGGAAGAGGAGAGGAGGGCTTGTTCGGGGGGTCAATGTATGCAAATATTTTAAGCTGCAAATCCAGCGTGCGTAACCGGGAGAGACAACAAAATTATACACTGCGCGGAATTCGCAAATTATCCAACTGCTGTTATGAGCTGAATGTAGCTCCTCAGATCGTCCCAACTGGGCATCGATCTTTCCATTAGTTATCCATCCTATCCTGTCTAGTCTCTGTTTAATCTCTCTAGATCCAGATCTTCCCCAGACTTTTCCCTCAGTGCTGAGATGCAGATCCAGAGCCAGACCCGTACCCATCTGCATATGCTAAACACAGGGTCCAGCATTGTTTCCTCGGCGCGACTCCTCGCCCATCGCGAGCACTTTTCTTGTATCTGATTTGCGACAGTCAAGTCAAGTCGAGTCGCGCTATCTGCTGCCTGGGCTCCTTTATGGTAAGGAAGCTTTGGTAAGATGCTAGCGAATTAGGAACGCGGAATGCGATCGATACGTGCAACAGGGAGCAGGCAGCAACATGTTGCACATGCCGCAATGTTGCTGCTGCTGCCGCTGCTGCTGCCTTTACCTGTGGTCAAGAGCAACTCGGCCCGATTCGTTTCCCATATTGCTAATGCGCCGAGCTCGGGCCGCAAAGTCGTGCTCTTGGCCACTTGGCCACTTGGGCAGCTGGACTCCATGGAAGCCATGGACTCCATGGACTGCTCGGCCATGCCAAATGGAGTCTCCCAATGGCAATTAAGGAGCCCAAAACGTTCTGTGTTCTGCTGCCTGTCCGAGGCATGTCTCTTATTGTTGCTGCTGCCGCGCTGCTGACGCTGCTGATGTTGCAACTCGCCATTCTTAACGGTAATTATGTTGTTCGTTTTGGCAGGCCGCATTTTGCGTAGCCCTCTGAAATGGATTGAAATTCCCCGGTCGAGTGGAGTCGCGGTTCTTGTGTTAAATTGGATTAATTTGACAGTAAAATGCAAATGAGCCAAATGCCAAATGCGAAATGCGAAATTAAACTTTTAGGCTGCCACTCGCGAGAGGAGTACAAGGAATTCGGACATGTTGCAGGCAACAAATTATGCTGCTTCTCGCAGGCCCATTTTTCCTGCTGCCTTTTAAAATAATCAACATGTTTTTGGGCCGCAAATGCAACAGCAGCAGCAGCGGCAGCAGAGGAGGCACATGTTGCTGCCGTGCAACAAGCAACAAGCAAAGTGCAGCAATAATTTTAAATTGAATTTTTTGCTTTTCCTCCTGCTGCCGCCAAAGTAAAGCAAAAGCAAACAAATCTGCCCGAAAGAGCAGACAAGTTTTCTCGGTTTCTTGGTGGTTTTCATCCTGCCCCCCTCCCCCCGGTTGCCGTGGGGCAAGTCTTGGAGTTACTGCCGCCCTTTGGCAACATGCATCACCGAAGTCGGCGTCGTTTTTCATATTTTTGCACTCACATGAGTTGCCAGTTCGCTGCTCTTTTTTGCAATTTTTAATTCATTTTCCTTTCCGTTTTTTGCTTTGCTTAGCCGGAGATTGCTTAATCGATTTGCCATGACTCGGGCGCCAGCAGCAACTGATAAATTGTTTTGCCATGTGTTTATTAATTATAGCGAAAATGGAATGCCAGTTCTTGGGGAGGGGCGGGCTCTAAGAACTCTATCAGTGGTGGCTCCTCCAGGTGGTCCATGTTGCAAGCATGCTGCAAGCCCGGCAAGCCCGGCAACCCAAGAACCGCCAAGGAGTCAAACATTCGTCTGTGTGCTGCTCATTTTGGTCATTTACAAATGGAAATTGCATTGATTTGATGTTGCTGCGGCGGGTTGCATCTCCTTCCATGCCTGCCTCCCATCGCCGATGATCCGTAGGCCATCCAGTACCCTGTATCCAGTATCTAGTATCCACTTTGATGATATATTGCCGCCCAAGTAACATTCTTTCCCCTTCGATTGGCCATATTTGATGCCCGGCTACAAGTTACAAGTTACATGACGTTGTCGTTGTCTCCGTGCCTCATGTTGCCGTTGTCTCCGCTGATGTTGCTGCTGCTGCTGCTGCTGCTGCTGCAAGTCGCAGAGTTTTTGTTTGCATTTATTAGCATTTTGCCCTTTGCTGCCGCTGTCGCCTGTCAGTTGTGGCTGCTGCTCCCGTGTGTGGCAACATTTTCAATTCAATTATATTTCATGTTCATGTTGCATCGATTTACATTATAATTTGTGTCTGTGGCGGAAGTCATTTGTGAGGCGGAAAAAACTGCAGCACAAACTGGCAATCAGAGCCCTAAGCTGCAGTTCCAAGCCGTTTAGATATGGGGATATGCACTGCCTATTCCCTGCCCAAATCCCATGAGAGCCCACATCTTAATCAAGTTCCCATTCTCGGAAGATTTCTCCAGCCCACCACAACCTCACTCATTGGACTCAATAGTTTTCTGTAACAAATCGGCTCATAATTCCCTGATTAGTCAGGCCAGAGCAGAGAATTTTCCCCGCATGTGTATTTTCCAGCCAATCTTAAGTGTCGCTTTTCATTGAGCGCATCGAATTTCCCGCGCGCTGACAGCTGCTCCGAATATTACACAAAAATATGCCGAAAACGCTGGAAATATTTCAGCAAGTCAAATAAATATTTCATCCGTTTACTTACGAAGAAAACTTTCCCTGGCACCTTTGACTTCGGCATATGGCCAGTCAATCACCCAATGCGCCCATCAATCAGTCAATTAGAGCGCTTTTCCCCGAGAAAACCCATGCTGAAATGTTAAAGTTCCTTAAAGTCTCGGCCGTCCCGCGCCAGACTCTTAATGCTTATCATAATAAGCCGAGTAAACAGTTGCTCCCAAGACTAATGAGGGCCGAGTGGCGAAATGGGGGCCGTAGACCTTCATGATCTAATGTTATGACAGCTCATCAAGTGTCAGCGCAGAATGCTGCCAGCGCCAAAGGATGCTCTCTAATGACATTTACTTTTAACGCTTATTAAATGTTGTGTGTGCCAAAGAAGCTTAAATCAGTTTGTCTCGGCTGGACGTTAGATGGGGATAATAAGGGTTCGCTTTAATGGCTTTTTGCGCCCCGAAATTAGCCCAAGGGTTGCACAGTATTCCAGTTGCGAATTTGCCCGTTTTAGTTGCCACTTTCGGGGCTTAGTTGATGTGCTAACAAAATGTAGCTTTTAAACTGGGCAAATACTTGTACCTTCTTGGAATGGAATCAGCGCGTTAGCCGCGTATCTCTCCGCAACGTATCTCATTTCATTTAAAAAGTATCTCTGCAGCTTCCCCTCTTCCGAACCAATTTGTATCTCTTCCGCTCGCGCTTTAATAACAGCAATTTGTATCATCATCAAGTCCGTTCCTCAAGTCTCGACTCCAATAATAACGCTTAGAATCTGTTGATTTTCCCCCGCTTTTGGTCGCCTGGTTGTTTTCTCTTTCGGTGCGATTTCATGGCTCTTGATTAACGTTGTTTCGGCTTCGTTTTGTGTCGCTTAAGCTGCTGGTACTTCAGTTCTCCAGCTCTTCAGTTCTCGGATGGACAATGGACCAGTGCCAAAAAGCCTATTAGCTTTTCGATTTCCCTTTTCTCGGGGCTTGGGCCTTCGATTCGAAGGAGGTTCAGTGAACGCTTGTCGCTCCGCTCGGTACGCCTTATAATTATGCGCTTTTGGCAATTAAACGACACTTGCCCCGCCCACCGCCCCTTTCCACGGGCTCCTTCGCAGTGGCTGGCTCCAAATATGGCTAGTGTCATAATTCTTGTCAAAAGCCAACCCCCAAGCGACTGAAGTCTGAAGTCTGAATTCTAAAGTCCGCAGACGACGACAGAAAAAGCGACGAGGGGCAAAAACTGCATAAACATCGCTGATTGAAATCAACTTTGGCATGAAATCAATCATCGCAAGAGACGGCAACCCTTCTTTCTTCTCCTGCCACATATATATATACCTATATATATTTCCATTTTTTGGTTCAAGTCTCGCCGCTGTCCTGCCTTCCGCTTATCCGACTTGGAAATCTCGCCCAGGGCCGCTGAGGCTGTTTGCTTTTTCGCTTTTATTCCATCGCTAAGTGGATACCCTAACGCAGGGTATCCTAAACACGCCGAGCTTCTGAAGTGGAGCAATATTAAAAGATATAGTGGGCCATTACCCCATGACTGAAAGTGTTTTTCTAAATGAAACCTTTTCACTAAGCACGTATGTTTACATCTTTTGAACAAAGCATCAACTTATTGGTTCTGTAAATATGTGAAATCGATGCCTTTTGTCCAGAAGGCACCACGAAGTCATTGGGCTGGAAATCACAATACACCATCCATTAGAAGTTCACTGGAATAGCCATTCTAAGGGTATTTCCACTTCGACCTCGTGCGCGTTATCATCCCTCCATCTCGCCCAATCCCCCTGGTCAGTGTTGAGTTTCGCGCTTCGAGTGGCCCTGGATTCCCGATTCCCGATTGGCGATTCCTTCGCCTGGCCGCAGGACATGCAACATGTGACATTGAGAGCCAGTCCGCTTTGTTAGTGGGCACTCAAGTCGTTGGAGAGTCGGAACCCTCGCCCCAGATCGCTGGCTTATTTATGATCATAGTCGGCGGGGAATGCGCTGCCGTTTTTCAGCTCATTTATTCATATTTACATTTAACATGCGTTTTTCTCTAACGAAGTCGGCGTAAATCGATATTCAATAAACGACATCTGTGAGCATTTTTTCTTCTATCCGACGGCCTGTGTTTTTGTGCTGCTCCAAGTCGACCCTTACCCTGCCCTGCTCGATAATGATCTCTTTGTTGGATTGGCAGCAGGAGGATTGAGAGGCAGGCAGCTGGCGGTACGGATCCGGGGGTTATAGCAAACTCGTACTGTAGATGCATATCTGTCAGGGATGTCAAAACGACGAAACATAATTTATGCTGCACATGCGACAGTCCGTCCCATAAACGAGGTTTATGTGCAATTGTTTTATGGCTCTGGTTTGAGACTGGTTTTCGGATTCGGGAGCTTCTGTTTTCCACGCTGCGGCCCAAGATTTCCACGAAAACAACAGGGCTACCTCATTTTCCATGCACCTCATGATTCACTAATAAATTTCCTTCTTTCTTCTCTTTCCAGGTAAGCAAAAACCAACTCATAACGATCTATTGGAGAGATCTTGAGAGATCTGGCCAACGAAATTGGAATTCCAATATCAAATGTGGAGCATTTCGGTTTTGGAAACTGTGTCGCTGCCATAAATCAGACAAGCCATTGACACATTTCCTAGAGCTTCGGGTTGTATTTTTAACAGTTCCAACATCTATCAAAAATAATTAATAGAAAACTTGTCGAAATGTCAATGGGCATGACAAATGTAATTAATTTGAAGCCGCAAGAAAAATAGACAAATTATGAACTTTGCTGCTTTTACATCCTCCAAATGAATTTATTCTGGTTTTTAACTCGGTCTCAGGTTTCGTTTACCGCACAATGCGAACTGTGAAATTGTTCAAATCGGCTTATGAAATAGGCAAATTAAAATCTAAATAAAATTCAATTAAGAGATTAGGCTGAATGATTAATTGTATTGTGGCCCAAACTTTTTTGTTCCGCGCAGCCATTTTTCCATCTATTATTTAGTTGTCACAATACATACTCTATTTAGGTCGGGCACATAGGTTTCGATATGAAAGCATACGAACTTGACAGGTGATAATGACAGACTTGATGGTATTATATTTTATTCTTTCGAGGGTGCGATGACTTTTCGTTTTCTGGGGTTGTATTCCGTGTTTTTCAGGGTTACAAATACGGAGTTCGAGGGAGTGACCTATTAGATTCAGCTCCATGTGTGTAAATAAACTACAGAAAGTGGCAAATATTTGAAGAACAAATCTATAGACTTCGTCCAAAGTATCTGAAGAGTAACTTAAACGCGATCTCCTGCCATTCTCACCTTCATTATGCGCAGTATACACCATACATCATCTTTATCACTTCATCTTTTGACAAATGATCCCATATTATAATGCAGATTTCGGATTAGCATAGCTCTTAGCTGACTTCATAATGATTGTATGGGTAGGATAAGGTTCAGTTTTATTTTTTGTTTTTTTGGTTACATCATAAGCCAGTTAAGCGTTCTCTTGGCCAATGCAATTTCTCAATAAAGCCAACTGCGGCCCACTCAGAAACCCTTTTCCATTCACATAAATGGAGCCCAAAAGGACGGCGAGATAGAAAACGAAGATATCAACTATATAAAAGAGTTGATAAAAAGCTGTGTAAAAAATATGACATTGATAGTCGCCCTTTCCCAGCCATATGGGTCCCTTTTTGCGTGCACCTCTCATATATATTTATGACTGGGGACTGTATTGTAGATACTCGGCTGGAACCTTTAAAAGGATTTCAGTGTTTTTCATTTATGAAATTATTGATAAGAGCCGAGGCGCGCTGGCGAGCTTTTTGTGGCGGTTTCTTTTTAGCTGAATGCATATTTTGCTGATAAGCGAAGTGAGTGCGAGTGCGAGTGCGAGGAAACTTGGATCCCAAATTCCCCATGGCGGAAAGTGGTTTTCCTCCGCCCGCCGACATGAAAAAACGCACACACTCACATGGGACTCGAATGTCGAATTTAATTAACAGCGCAAAAGTCGCACAAAAGTGGAGCGGAGCAGAGAACCCAGGAAAACCCAGAACCCCTTCAGACAATGGAAAAGTTGCTCCATCGAAGGCGGGAAGAGGTGGTCGGTGGTCTGGGAATTCGTACCCTGTGGCGCCAAATTAACAATATGCGTACAATGTGCGAAAAAAATCTGCGGAGCCAAGACCAAGACCAAACCAAAACCAAGATGGGGCAACTCAAAGACCGACGACTGTCTGGTCTGGAGCATTTTCCCTGGCACCTTCGGGCGATTTGGCTCATTAGCGACTCCGCCAGACTCGACTCCGCGTGCTCTGGCATAAATTTGACATTGAAAATGCGAGATGGGAGCGCTGCAGACTAGACAAATGGCTCCGGAGACAGTGGCTAATATCGGTGGAGAATAATTTGGCATTTGCAAAGCTTTTCTCAGCTTACAAGAGCAGCTGCCCTTATCTGCAACATACTTTCAAGGCATTTACGGCGTTTTCAAACCACGGTGGCCATCTGAAGTCCGCCTGCGGTTGCCCGTCTCTTGTTTTGCCTAATCAAATGCTGCGCCCAAAGGGATTGACTCCGGATGGCAGGAGCTGAGGAGCAGAGGGTCCTTGAGGATTCATTTGGGCGCAGGGATAGAGCCATATGTTCGTTCCCCTTCCGCGTATTAATATGCGTGTATGGCCCAAACAGCGTTTTGAATAATTTATTTGATTTTTTGATTTCTCGGGCATTCCTTTTTTGCTGTCGCCGTAATAACGAAAACAATAAAAGCCGAAATCGAAGTCGAAGTCATCGAGGGGAGAAGTAGGGAGCAGGGACATAAGCGTATGAGTTTCCCGGAGCTTGTGGAAAGTCCTCACATTATGGACCGTAATCCCGGTTGGTTTATTGCGGTTTTTATTGCTGCCCCGGGTTCCATGTTTGGGCAAATATTTGGCTGCTCTTCAGTCCGTCGGCGCTGGATTTCTTTGCACTCCCAGGAAGCAACCAGGTTCTCCTTCCTTCGAGGGTTCTTGGCCCGATGTGAATATTACATAAATGTGATAATGATTTATGCTGCCGAACTCCGCTTTCTTTTCTCCCCGAGTTGGCCCACATCCGCCGTGTTGGTAGGTAAATACCAGCATTTAAATAATTGGCAAGCGGGCAGCTTCCGCTGCAGGATGTTGTTGTTCTTGTGAAACCCCCCCTGGTTTTCCCTCCTGTTTTTCCTCCCGACCGACTAAGCAAACAATAACAACAATAACCAGGAGGCGAAGACGCAGAAGGCAAACGCAAGGCGCGCAAATACAAAAGCAAACAGATGTAAACAGAAACAATGAGTAACGAATTTTCCTGAAACATTGAGTTTTGAAGTGTGGCGACTCGGAAATTCTCTAAACTTGTTTGTGGAATTGTTACAGTGTCTACTCAATAGTTATACAAAAAAGTAATCAAGAGCTACAAATTTACATAACATATGGTAGATAGACTTATAAAAGCAAGATTTATGTTTTATTTTTAATCTCCAAGTAAGACCTGAGCGATTTTACACCGACTTTATGACTGCTCCCATCAATATTTGGCAGTAAAAGGAGGGAAAATACTAAGCGTACTTAGACTTCACAAGAGCAAGTCGGTAAACAGAAATCCGGAATACCCATGTACGGAAATAAACAACACCCACTCTTTCCCATTTTCTTGTACAAAAGCTTAAGTGGCAAAAGTTGTGCAAAAGGCTTACGAACTCCTCGGCTTTTTGAAAGGATACCCCATTTTCCGAGTTGGCTGCCTGGGCGAGTTGCATGCCCATTAAAAATTAAGCATTTCAGCATAAATAAATAAATGCTAGCAGAAAGTTGAAATAGCAGCTACACAGCAACCTCCATCAGCTGGCGGGAAATCAAAAACTTTGCTGTTGCTGTTGCTGTTGCTCTTTTGGTGTTGCTGTTGCCCGAGAAGTCGCGCTGCACTAAAAGCTTATAAATTATTGTTCAGTTTGTTGTTGAGCCAATGCAAAAACAATAAGAACAACGCAACAGTATTGGGGCAAGAAAGAACACTGGAAAAAGCAATGCTGCAGATACATTTTTCCGTACTGTAATATGGGGCATTGGTGAAAACATGATGCAAGCTTCACTTGAAACACTTGAAGAAGTGATAGATGATATTACTTGGACAGGAAGTGCCGATCTTAAGCGCTTTTTTTCCGGTGTACGGCAAAAGGGAGCACCGAAAATCAAAATGGCACTAAAACAGAAGCAGGACTAGCTGGAGCTCAGTTAATTTTTTAGCAGACCCTCTCGCCCGACGTCACAGTTCACATCAAGGACTTCCAACCTGTCGCTTTCCCCATTTTTAAAAATGTGGCAAAATGGAAGAGGCAAGCGCAAAAAGGAAAATGGTTGCAGCAGTACTCAAGCTGCCACAGTTTGACACTCTGTGATTTGTGGGGCCGGGCAGCGAAAAACTCTTACTTTCTGACGAGGGGTGAATAAAGTTCATTGGTATTTAAGAAGCAGTTAAATAATTTCAATAATGGATTTTAAGTAAACTTAGTTCATCTTGGTGGCAGTACGAGGATGTAGATTTTTGTTATAAAATTTATCATACAGAATTTAATGTTGCACGTTTGCCTACAAAGTCCTTAACTGGGAAAACAATAAATGCCTTTACAATAATATACGTACAAGTTTGTGCATCTTCAATTACCTGAACACATGTATAGCTTGTAGCTCGCATGATGGTTTTCCGGCAGGTTGCTCCCAACAACTCCACCTGGTTGCCCCCCTGGAATTGCGGCTGTTCGTTGTTTGATTACAAGTCTTGTGGGTGAGGAACAACTGGCCAGGTTATTTGCATATGCGTTTCGACCAGCTGCTTGCTTACACGTTTAATGTTGCCGTCAGTTGGGAAAGTTGTGATTTTTGGTCATGGTGTGCACGAGCGGCGATGTACGTTGTTGACATGCTAATAATGATGCATATTGGCATAAGATGCTTGAGAACTCCCGGAGTCTGGAGTCTCTTTTAGCACCTAGTGGCCCAAAGTCAAACAACGGGGCAGCAGCAAATTAGCAGAAATGCAACAGCATCCACCAGCAGTCCAAGTTGTAGTTGCAGTTGTGAATGCTCCTTGTCTTCTGGTACCCTCTCGTGGGGTATATCAGTTTTAGGCTCAGCGCTGCAGGATGATTTGAAGAGGAGCACACATTTAAAGGAATAAATCTAGAACTAGCTATGATATCATCAAAACTTTTGGGATGCGAGCTCCTAAGATAACACTCTGCGCACATACCAACTTTCATAACGATTCGTGAAGCCGTTCTGGCCAAACCATGATCCATTCGCTGGGTAGCCCCCAGTCGAGTGACACCCACTTGATGTTCTCGTGTTGCTCCCGGGCTACACATTTCTTTTATGCTTATGTTGGACAAACAGACAAAAACGGCAGCAAACAACAACAACAATATAAGCTAAGATAACAGACAGCAGCAGATTTCTTAACAGCGCCCATATACGAAATGCATTTCCTGTTATTATTGTTGGTGTTTGCTGCTGCAGCCCGCAAAACTCCCCAACACGTTAGTGGCGCATTATGAGTTCAGCAGGCACAGACCCCTATACCCGTCTCCCTCTGCGCCCTCTGCACCCATCGCGCCATCTCTTTCTCCGCCACAGCGCCCGTCTCTCTCTGGCCCCCAAAAGTGAGCGCGATTGTTTGCTTAGGTGCATGCTTGCATGATTTCATCGCCGGCAGCACTTTTTGCCTCTGTTCCGTTCCTGTTCTGTTCTGTTGCTGTTTA